GAGGATGCTAACCCCGCGGTAGTGTCAGAGTTATTCGGCAAAGGATTGGGATCATCATCGAGCAAGGGAGCCGTAGGAACCTCATCCGAGGACCCCAAGACTGCGGTAGACTCAGCAAAAGGAAATTCATTCTCATGAAACTGCACATCTCGAGAAACAAATATGTCACCTGTAGCATAATCATACATCTTACATCCTTTCTTTCCATGAGGATATCCAATAAAAACACATTTTCTACTTCTAGGGGCGAATTTATCACCCTTGGAGCGATGATCATAAGCGAAACAAAGACACCCAAATACTCTCAGGTGAGAAAAATTCGGGGCTTGTCCAGTAAGCATCTCATAGGGTGTTTTTCCCCCAAGCAATCCTGATGGCGTTCGATTAATAACATGAGCAGCGGTTAAAACACACTCACCCCACAAATATATCGGAATATTGGCTTGAAACATAAGAGCTCGAGCCACATTTAAAATGTGGCGATGTTTACGCTCCACTCTCCCATTTTGTTGAGGCATGTGAACACATGAGGTTTGAAAAATAATACCCTCAGTTTCAAAATAAGGCATCATACAATTCACAGAGTGGTTAAATTGTTTTTCAACCATAGCTAGGAAAGAGAGAAAATTATGACAAACCTCCTTTTTTGTCACACAATAAATATACCCAGACAGCTCTAGAAAAATCATCCACCAAAGTAAGAAAATAAATAGCATCACACGTACTGGGAGTTTTGTAAGATCCCCACAGATCACAATGAATTAAGTCCAAAATATGATCTATCAAAACACATATGAAGTATATAATATGACGCGATGATGAATAATGATAATAGTTTCAAAATATGGTCATCCCTACGATCAATTTGCAAAAACAAAAAAAAATTGTTTCAAATCCGGTGGAGCTCTCAAGTCTCAAATCCGGCCCGGGTCCACCCTTAGTTCTATCCTGTGAACATTAGAAACATCCCTTCCTTTAAAATTTTGTCTTTAGTTTTATCATTTTTTCTTTTAATCAATTTGTTGGTCCAAAATAGGACGCTCGTAGGCTTTTAGGAAAGCTACGTACGACACTCAAACAGGAATCAAGAAACTAATATGAATAAGGAAAGTCGCAAAGGGAATTTGGTAGCCAAAAATAGCATCTAGAAGTTGTCTCCTAATTTGAATTACAACCCGCCTTTTATAAGCGTATACAAATCGTAACCGCTACCGATAATAATGACTAATTAATTACAACATTAATACGGAATTAAATACATAATTAATAGCACATTAATTGCTTGACTGTTACTCTTCCGGACTGAGAGGTCGGTCGGACTAGCAGGCTCCCCGCTGGACTGGCAGGCAGGCTCCAGGTTGTGGACTTGGATCCACGGGTCCAAGTTCAGGGCTTGGGCTGATTAGGCTCTGGGCCTAGTTCCATAACTCCATCACGAGTCCCCCACTCCCTTAGTTGAGTATTAGACTCGGCTAAGAAGGAGTAGTCCAAGTCAGGTTCTCTTCTCCGAGACTAGAAGATCCCCGCCCTTGTCCATGTTGGGGAGATGCCTCATTAAAAACCTTCATTAGGAAAAAACCCAATGGGAAAAAATCCTAATGAAGGGAAAAAGAGTACATCTGACGCCCCCAAAATGAAGCAAGAGGTGAGATCCTCAACCTTTATTGCAATGGTCGCCATCTACGAATAGGATGTCCATAATTGTTCTTCTCGTCGGGCCTAGACTCGTCAGGTTCGTCATTTACTTCCTTGAAGACGGTAAGACCCTCGGTCCCCCACTTCATTTAGTTGTACCTACACATAAAAGAAACTAGTGTAGAATAGAGCATCCGACCTGGTGTCGAACCACGGCTCGATGTGTAAGTAAGTCGGACTCACTACTTGAAAAGAGTGACATCATGTTCCCAAGTTAGGCCTCAACCCAGTCTCTGAAAGAAAGATTGAATCCGCGAGGAAGTGAGTCGGACTCCTCACTCGAATGGATAATCCAACCCCAAAGAACTAAAGTATATCAACCTTTTCGAGAAATGTGAATGTCAATTAAGTGACAAAATTGCTCGGAAGAGCGTGGCTCTAGGCCCCTAATAAGAGTTTAACTCGCCGCCCGAGGTTAGTAGTTCGAACCCGCAAGTAAAAACTTTTGAACGGGTGACTTGTCCCCCGAGGTCGGAGTGTGATGCACTTGGAAAGGGTAAGAGCACGCAAGAACTCGTATGAAATCAAGAGTGTGCGGTATTAACATTTATATTGGAGCTTATTAATCGCCACACCCATATGACGTGACCCGGTGGCGCGAGTGTGTGTGCTCGGTCAGTGTACGAGTGTGTGTGCTCGTCCGGTGTACGTGAGTGATCGGATTTCATAAGCCCGTTTTTCAATGTTAAAATTACAGACGCTTAACAAGAGTAAAAGCAATTAAACCACTTAAAATATCTTTTCAAATGTTTGAATTTATGATTTTTTTGTATCAAATATATAGGATTTTTGGAAACTTAGCTTTAGAACCATACAGGTCCGAATGCGTAGCTGAAATTTCAGCCCATCATCCTTGAGGAGAATCAAATTTGGTCTTAGTGTAATCTTGGTCCATCCACTTTAACGCAGAGCAGACTCTTGCTCCATAAGAATTAGGTGCACGCACATTTGAAGGCCTATCTCATGAATAGGCGTGGCGATGAGGGAGACCAGCGGCGACGTCGGCGCACGGCATCCAGCTGTGATTGGCGAAAGAACAGGAGGAAGTGGAACTGTAGCACCTTGGATTGGGATGAATTTCTTGAATTTTTTCTACTAAAGTGATGTGAGAGATCAATAGAGGCTCTCAATGAAAGCACCAATGTTGGTCCAAAATAGGACGCTCGTAGGCTTTTAGGAAAGCTACGTACGACACTCAAACAGGAATCAAGAAACTAATATGAATAAGGAAAGTCGCAAAGAGAATTTGGTAGCCAAAAATAGCATCTAGAAGTTGTCTCCTAATTTGAATTACAACCCGCCTTTTATAAGCGTATACAAATCGTAACCGCTACCGATAATAATGACTAATTAATTACAACATTAATACGGAATTAAATACATAATTAATAGCACATTAATTGATTGACTGTTACTCTTCCGGACTGAGAGGTCGGTCGGATTAGCAGGCTCCCCGCTGGACTGGCAGGCAGGCTCCAGGTTGTGGACTTGGATCCATGGGTCCAAGTTCGGAGCTTGGGCTGATTAGGCTCTGGGCCTAGTTCCATAACTCCATCACAATTAATTTACGATTCTTGTTATTTCCCTCTCCTCCGCACAAACCTCAGACACATAATCTTTTACTTTATTATTTTTCCTGTCGACCAAACCTAATAAAGTTTTAATGGACGGATGAAGTATATTTAGTGGTACTTGATAGTTGGTACAAACTCTTCCAATAATAATTTGATTAAAAAGGTAGAGAGGTAGATACTAGATAGGTATTTACCACCGAGATTGTCTCTTCAGTCTTCACTCCCTCTCTACTGTCGGCCGACGTAGCTCAACGGGTAAATAGAGGGTGCCATAAGGGGTAAGTTTCGGGTTCAAATCCCGACAACTGTGATGAGAGGTTACTATGTAAAAATGCACTGGGCCTCTGTAAGTACCAGGGCCAGATCCCCACCCGCTATTTGCTAGTGTGTGATTAAAGTCCAATATACATCATTCTTTATTTTGCTCCCTCTCTACTCCTAGTACAGGCATTGCAGGCTCACTTGAGGGTTTTTCAGACTTATATTCATTCCAATTATTTTTAGTGTTATACTAAATCAAACTAAGTTAAGTCGTGTTTGGATTGGTTTAGTTCGAAATCAAGCCCAAATAAAGTTATCTATTTTTAAGAGGATGGAAAAAGGAAAGAAATATTTTACTTCATTTTCACACAATTAAATTTTGAAGCAAAGAATTTGGTGTCACTAGTAAAATGGGCCCCCTTGAAAGAATTTGGTGTCACTGGTTCCTGGTGTGGTGTGTATCCAGATTTTTTTTTGTACAGCACAAGTAAACAATTTGAATTTTGTTTGTACGAATGCTGCTCACATTTAATTTTCTTTATAGTTTATAATAAGGAGTCTATGTCATTATAATTTACATATAATTGAAAACCACTCTAATATAAATTTGAATATAACAAATTTTGCTGCATACCACAGAGATTAAAAGAAAGTTACTAAAAATTAAGTCATGATGGTATAAAGATTTTTTTCAAATAAATATTTACATAACTTTCCTAAAAACAAATTCGATTTTTTGTTCAAATTTAAATGGGTTTTCCATCATTTGCAATGGAGCCAAAGATTCATTATTTTTTGGCTTGAGATTATGATGGAATAAAGCAAAATGACTCACTAAACTGTCTGCGCTTCTTTGTTATAGAGCAACAGTCAGTCCATGCAATCTTGGACGCGATTTTCACTATGGGTCATCCGGAAACAGTCTATCTGTGCTTTAGTACAGGGGTAAGACTGCGTACATCCGACACCCCCTTACCCCACCGTAGGTGGGAGCCTTTGCGGCACTGGGGTAAATGAAAATGAAAATGATGTTCAAATTTAAATGGGGTTGGGCCTTATATAAATAAGATTGAAACTGCCTCAGTTTCAAACCTCCAAGACTCTTATATGAGAGAGTGAGTCGCAATCAGTTGAACTAGACCTACTTTCCTTTATAGCTTTGAAGCGCTTTAAACTAAACATGAATGCATGCTTGAAAACATTATTTTCTAGGTAGTGCTTTTTAAATCTAAGCAAATAGACAGAAATTTTTTAAAAAGGGATGAAAGAAACTGCATGTACAACAAAACATAATACACATATGGTTGTAAAAACCCTACGAAAAGACAGTGTGATAGAAAAATTGCAACAGCAGCTGTCATAATGTCTACATTAAACCTTTGCTGTTTCTTCAAACATAAGAGGATTCTTTCCCTCTATCTACCTTCTTAGGTAATTTTATTTTATTTGCAACTACTTTAAATTTTTGTGTTTATATGCATGTATATCTCCCATTCAAATAAGAAATTATCTTCTGCAAAAATGGGAACTCTTCTTGAATGAGTGCAAATGCATGAACTTAAAACATTCTCTTCCTTTTTCCATTCATTTCTTGATTAATTGAATGAAATATGCAATTCAGTGGTCACTGTCAAGTTTTTGAAGATCGCATGCTTCTTTCATCCATTGCAGCATAAACATCCTCAAAGGTTTCTGTTTACAAACTTAGAGCATCAATGGAGGCTAGACTGCGATCTGCGTGAGTTCCTTTCTTCTTAGTAATTTCATTCATTTCCACAGCTACGCTAACATAGAACTCACCCCCCCCCCCCCCCCACCGTCCGATGTTCAGAGACGATGTACACAAAAGAAAGCTGCAGAAAATCAAAGTTGAAGATGTGGTCAAGCCATTCCAACAACCCTTTCAAGAAAAGAGTACAAGGTTGAAGCTCCATCACCTCAAACTTCTCTTGTTTGTTTTGGTAATTGCAACTTTCATCATTCTTCTAGCTACCCCAAATGGTTGTCCCCGCTACACCTCATCCCAACCTTCCAATAAGTAAGTTCGCACTGTTATTCATAGACTTAGACTTGTGTTTCTATACTAGAAAGTCAACTTGTGTTAGGAAGAAGAATCTGCAAACTTTAAGTCACACTAAAGTTGCCTGAATCTACTGAAGTTGTAGCTGAATATGTAGAATCATTAAAAAGTGTAATCTGATTTTTTTTAGTTAAATACGGAGTAAATGATAGAGAGAAAAAATGGTTCTCTCTTCGACAAGTTTAGCCAGTTCATCCTAAAATATCTTTAATCTTATCTTTTTTCATAATATACCCATTCAACGCGCGAGATCAAAGAATTAATATTTGTTAATAAATAGTTAAAGCCGAGAAACAAAAGAAAAACATGTTACCAAATGAGCACTTAAATATGATGCAGGCCTCATTTGGTGAAAAGGTGGTGGATTTGGGGGGTTCCAGATCCCAGATACATATCAGACTTGGTTGTTAACTGGGATGAGGTGTCCATTGTTGTCAATGAATTAGCAGAAAGCGAGAAGATCAGAAGAACGGGTCTCCTCAACTTTGATGAGGATGAGATCAGGCAATGGAAACAGATGATTCCAGAAGCTAACCACACAGTCCTGCATCTTGATCATGTCGAACAGAACGTGACTTGGGAGACCTTGTATCCCGAATGGATCGATGAGGAACAAATGTATGAAACACCTAGCTGCCCTTCTCTACCAAAGCTTGATGTTCCTAGAAAACCGATCGACTTGATCGCGGTTAAGCTCCCTTGCAAGGGGAACTGGACTAGAGACGTGGCTAGGCTACACCTGCAGCGTGCGACTGCTGGTTTAGCCTCATCTGCTAAAGGCACCCGCCCAGTACACTTGCTTTTCCTTACTCGCTGTTTTCCCATTCCGAATCTATTCACTTGTCAGGAGCTTGTTGCACACAAAGGCAGCGTTTGGCTGTACAAACCAAACTTGAATGTCCTGAGACAGAAGCTCCAGCTCCCAGTAGGATCCTGTGAACTAGCCCTTCCATTTGGTGCCACAGGTTATTCAAAACATCCGAATTTGTTTAGGCTCAGTTATGTTTTGTGATTCGACTTATTCTTCTTATAACTCACTAATTTACATAACACGGATGCTATCAAACGTTTTTGTTCAGAAAATTCAACCACACACATGAGTTGGGGTTCAGTGAGTCTTACTTCACACTTATATACGTAGTACGGAGTATTAAACAGAATCTAATAATCATCTTTTGTAATACACTTAAAATAAAGCTAATTCAGAATATAATAACACCAGAGGAGTCTTGTTTTTAATACAATACTGAAAAAACATACAGGAGTATTGGGAGAGCCCAAGCGTGAAGCATATGCAACGATCCTACACTCAGCTTACGTATATGTGTGTGGAGCCATAGCTGCAGCAAAGAGCATCAGAATGGCGGGATCAACCCGAGACATGGTGATTCTTGTTGATAACACCATTAGCGAATACCACAGAAGTGGACTAGCAGCTGCAGGGTGGCAGGTCCGTACAATCCAGAGAATAAGGAACCCTAAAGCAGAGAAAGATGCATACAATGAGTGGAATTACAGCAAGTTCAGACTATGGCAACTCACTGATTACGACAAGATAATCTTCATAGACGCGGATCTCCTAATCCTCAGAAACATGGATTTTCTCTTCGGGATGCCTGAGATTTCTGCCACAGGGAATAATGGCACCCTCTTCAACTCTGGAGTGATGGTGATAGAGCCTTCCAACTGCACATTCCAACTCCTCATGGATCACATAAACGAAATTGAATCTTACAACGGCGGAGATCAAGGGTACTTGAACGAAATATTCACGTGGTGGCATCGCATTCCGAAACACATGAATTTTCTGAAACATTTCTGGATCGGTGACGAACAGGATGTCAAGCAGAGGAAAACAGAGCTGTTCGCGGCGGAGCCGCCGGTCCTATACGCCATCCACTATTTGGGATACAAGCCGTGGCTGTGTTACCGCGACTACGATTGCAATTGGAACGTGGACATTCTGCAGGAATTCGCGAGCGACGCAGCGCACGACAAGTGGTGGAGAGTGCACGATAGCATGGAGGCGGAGCTGCAGGATTTGTGCCTGCTGAGGTCGAAGCAGAAGGCGCAGTTGGAGTGGGACAGGCGGCAGGCGGCGGCGGCGAATTACGGTGACGGCCACTGGAAAATCGAGATACGAGATCAGCGGCAGAAGAGGTGTACGGATAGGCTGTGTGATTGGAAGAGTATGTTGAGACATTGGGGGGAGAAGAACTGGACTTATAACCCCTACTTCCACCCATCGCCGCCGCTCGTGAAACTACGGTCCCGTACCAAACCACCACCGGTGTCGTCGTCTTAATGGTTATCAGTGAATGTTCAGATTTAAATTAATGCGTGATTATTTTGTTTATTAAAATGACGCAGTGCCATTAATTTTGCTTCATTAGCTCTAGGCTAGATTGTATCTTCATCTTCATTAGGATTTGAACACTCCACACTATTGAGTATTGAGTTATACCCGAAACATGCTCTCTCATTATGGATCTTTCATATGCAGTTTTTATTATTTCCTCCCTTCTTTACAACGTCGCCAAATTTGATATGAACATGGAATAAAAAAGTAAAAACAATGTGATTACATACTTAGATACTTAAATGAATAATTATAGTTGTATGGTGTTATTTTAAATGTAAATGATAAAGTTTTTGGGATTTCCCTTTAATATTTCTAAAAAAGTAACTAGTTTTAAATTTTGACAAAAAATGATTAACAAGGTCATCATTATCGTTCTAGCATTTTTGCTCAGTGAAACTACCGTCAATTACGTCATTGACACCCCGTCGTCGGCCACCATAGCGACGGATGTCACCCAACGGTGACCTTCACAAGCCCCCCTCCTCAACCCCTGCAAAATTGTGCCAACACCACTCAACCCCAGCAACAACTGACTTCGACAACCACAACACGCCTCCAGTCCCTGAAATTGCGGGAGCCCTACACCGCACAACGCCCCCAAGCTGTGAGTCGCCAGACCCTGTCCTAACCAGTGACCCTTCCCCTGCCTCAAGCCATGTTGTAACCGGTAACCCTCCCCTGCCCCTCACTATAATCGCCGCCCCATAAAACCTAGCCACCATACCCACCCACCTAGTCTTCGTCATCCCATAGTAGCCCCACCTTGTAACCCTCGACACTGCCCCACTCATATATAACCCTAGTCACCTCTGAGGTGACCTGAAGGCGTGGCGACCGGGAGGTGAAGGCGGTGATCTGGAACTGAAGTGAAGATCAGGACACGGTACTATGGAATCGGAGAGACGACCTGAGGCAGAGCTATCTTCATCTTCATCTTCGCAACAGCTTTGTCATTGGAGGTTTGATCTGAGGTGCAGAGAGAGATGATGCTTTGGGAGAGGAAAAGATTTGGGCGACCGAACAATTACTTTTTGTCACGTTTTTGTCATTCCAAAAATTAGTTATATTTTTGTCTAATAAAACCCTACAAGTAATGTTAAGGTCATTTTTGAGACAATTAAATAAGGAAAGTCGACAATGTTTTATGAGACCGGTGGAGTGTAATATTTTAAAAAAATCAACATTATATACCATTATTATTCACAGTAATTGCAACAAATACTCGTAAAAATATTCAAAATTGTTTTTCAAATAAAAAAAGGAAATTACTAATCGAAACTCATACTACCTCTATCGCATTTAATGTGTCATACTTTGCTTTGACACAACTGCTGATAAAGTGATTAAAAAAGTAAAGGTTGTGGTTGAGATTTGAGTATAATAAAGTGGAATGATGTAGACTACAAATTTCTTTTCAAAAAAAGAAATGTGAAAATGCACTTATTTTGGAACAACCCAAAAAGAAAATTAAGCGCGATAAAATAAGATGAAGGGGGTAATAAATTTGAATTTGCACAAACATAATAGAGATCAATCTTATGGTCAATTTGTGTAATGAATGGATGCTTTCAAATGGGCAAAAAAAGTTTTATATATCTATTACCAAAAAGTGCTCTAGTGAAATTGATGGCTTCACCGACTGAGTGGAAGTTGTTTGATTGGTACTGTTGTATCAATTATTGTCCTTTGTGTAACAGAATGGCTGATAAGTCACATGTGTAAGCTTGGTATGCCTCTGCAACTGATTGAGTGATGTCAGCCCTAGATATAGCTGAAACGTCTAAATCTAGAATGTATGTATGAGATCTTGAGCTCAGTTCAGCTTGTATGTGGAGATGTATGTGAATGCTAAGTTCAAAAGATGGGGAGCTTGAGGCTTAGCTCGGATGTACCAGGCTCGACTTGAGCGGCGACTAGAGTTATCTCGTTGACCTCAGAATCTGAAGCCGGATTTGGCTTTGGGCTCGGTTGTTGCACCAGAATTGACCTTAACATCATCTAGAGTCAGCCGTGACTGCGGTTTTGGGCCTCTCTCAATGATCTGAGAGCCAGTTTTGGGAGTCGGCCTTGACGGGCTCGGTCTCGACCAAGTTTGCCTTGGTGGATTGTGGAGCCGTGGAGGCTCCTTTATGTGAAATGGGTACCTTGTGGTATATGACAATGTACTCCATAAAAATATTAACAATTATTTTATAAGACTTGACGTCATATGACTCATTTTTATTAATAGATAATTTTTAACCAAATCACAATCGTGGCAACTAATAAGTGGAATACCGCGAGTAACGGTTTACTTAAATGAGTATATTCCGTAAATCCGTAATACGTAATACAAAGTACAATTTTTAAGAAACATCCGACAATCATACTCCACCACCGGTTGTATACATTATAGTATTATACTACCTCCATGCTTTGTCCCAAAAAAATTTACCATTTTCAAATCTTTGATCATTTATACGATGGTCTATTTTTATTCGAAATTACTTATAATATAAAAATTATATGAAAATGTTGTTTGTTAAAATTACTTTCATAAAAGTATGAAATTTATAACTTTCATCAAAATCTTAGTTCAAATTTTATGAAATGACGAAGTTTTTGAGACGAATGTAGTACTTAAAGTTTAATTTAGGCACAATATCGAAAAATGAAAAATTGTTTGTTAAACATTGTGCAAAAAAGAAAATACCAAGTAATGTAAATCAGAGAGAAAAAAATCGTGAAAGGAAAAAAGTTCATATTGAGATAGAAAAAAGAAAAACAATAATTTTGTTGGGGTCGGGAGACTTTGGAAAAATGCTTTCCAGTACACTTATATTAAATGCTTTACCGTTTCAGTACAGTAATTGAAATCCCAAAATGGATTCGCTCATTCTCCACTTCCGCTTTATTTAGCCCAAAGGACAACTCGGAATCTACATAGAAGTATTCCGATAAATTATGATGATTAGTCGTTGAACTCCGAAACCGCCCTATTGAAAAGAGAGCTCAATCCATTGAATAAAGAAATCAAGAAATCAGAATATTATTCTACTAGAACAGACAATGTACATCTAATCTAACCCGTTTGGTTCTGATTAAGAAAGACTTTTCAATATCAAAACTGCTCCCATCCGCAACCGCAGACCACTCTGTTTTTCTTTTCCTTCTTTTAAAATTCTCGTTTATACTTGTTTTACAATTCAAGAAATCGCTTCGTCCATAACCCACGACCAACCACCTTTCATATTCCCCATTTCCAGATTTGGAATTTCATACCCAAAACCTTCAGCTCCCTCATTGCTTCTTTAAATAGACAAATTCACACGGTAAGCTTTTCCTGGGATGCGATAGCAGTAGATAACATCATTAAAGCATTTCATCTGATGATTACGACGTTCATCTTCTTAGTCTCCTACCGCCTATTATCTGGTGTCTGTACTTGATAATATTTGCCTTTTCTCTTGTATTAGTATCGTTATGCGGTAAAGTTGGAATCTTTTTTTGTTCCCATCAATATATGGGTTCGGATAAGCTTAGCAGTTTCAGTAGAAGTGTTTCATTTAAACAGAGGGCCACGAATCTTGGAAGCCCTAGATTTAGTAGGAAGAGCTGGGTTTCAAGAAACTTTACAGTCCTAATTGTGTTTGGATCTGCTGTTTCGTTTCTTTTGGCAATCAGTGGAGGCTATTTGTATGTCCTCCCAAGCCTTACTAAAGCATTCCATGAAGTTAGTATTCCCACCACCTCCAATGGTGGTGAGTGTGATATATATGATGATGGGGATTGGGTTTTAGATAAAACTTACCCATTGTACAATGCCTCAGATTGCCCTTTTGTAGAGCAAGGGTTTAACTGCTTGGGGAACGGTCGGACCGATAAAGACTATCTCAAGTTGAGATGGAAGCCGAAGGGGTGTGATATTCCAAGATTTGATGTGGAAAGTACCTTAGAAATGCTCCGCAACAAAAGGGTTGTTTTTGTTGGTGACTCCATGGGTAGAACACAATGGGAATCTTTGATATGCCTACTAATGACAGGGGTCAGAGATAAGACGAGCGTGTTTGAAGTGAATGGCAATCAGATAACGAAGCAGATTCGGTTCTTAGGGGTGAGGTTTGGTTCCTTTAATTTCAGTGTAGAGTTTTACAGATCAGTTTACCTTGTGCAACATAATTGGTCGCCCAAACGTGCGCCCAAAAGAGTCAGGTCAACTCTTAGGCTGCACAAATTGGATGATATTAGTGCTGAGTGGAGAAATGCTGATATGCTCATATTCAATTCTGGTCAGTGGTGGGTGCCTGAAAAGCTCTTTGGAACGTAAGTATGCTCTCTTCTTCTTTTCTTATTGGTAAGGTTCATGCTCATTATTTATTTATAAGTTCTTCTTTGAAGTACAATGTGCATTGTTTGGTTTTCGTACAAAGAATGCGTTTTCCTCGTTGAACTGGAAGGCTTTTATGACTCGTGAATAGGCATTCTTGTGATATTTTAAGTAAATGATCGTCTGTGATGTGTCGTCACATTTACATAAACACAATCCTCTTTTAAAGAAATAAATGAATTTTCTGTCTACAAATGAGAATAATCACTTTTGCATCACAATAGTATATAACATAACCAACATATATGTATAATGTACTGTATTATAGATCAACTTCTTGATATATGCGGAACTCATAAAAAGAAAAAACGTCCATGATCAAGATATTCTGAAATATTTTTGTAAATATTTGCTTTGGTTTGGCCTAACTTCTGTTTTCAATCCCTTTTGTTAACAGAGGATGCTATTTTCAAGTTGGTCATGCACTCAAACTTGGAATGTCAATTCCTCTAGCATTCAGAACAGCTTTACAAACATGGGCAAATTGGGTTGATACCACCATTAACCCTAATAGAACACGCGTATTTTTTCGAACCTATGAACCATCTCACTGGAGGTACCCACTTGTCATTATTTTTCTTAAACATTTAGCTCTATTTAATACTGTATTTTCCTTTTCAAATACTGTTTAACAATGAAATTATATCAAATCCATGTTTACCTTTCCCTATAATTATTTTTAATTTTTTAACCATGTTACTATAACAACTTTGTATGTTTTCATTTGTTTTAGAGAACAATATTAACATAGCTAACCTCTCTTTGCTATTGCTATTCTAGAGTCTAAACTGAAATTAAAAAAGTGACCGGTTCTTCCTGCAAATGGTTTGTTTTCATGTTAGCCTCAACTCAGCTTTGCAAAACTCTCAATCCAATTTAATATGACTGTTCTAATGTTTTCACAATCCTTCAATTCTTTGTGTCGTCTTGATTGAGCAATAAAGTAATCAACAATTAGACTTGAACATATCAGCTGGACACAAAACAAAAAACCACTACTGCCTCGGCTGACTTTGGAAAGATATTTTTCATTTTAGGTCTATAAAGTATTTGAATCTTTAAGAAATTACATGGAAGGCCCAGAATGGAGCCAAGTCGGTGTTTTTTTGAAAGAGGTTGACTGAAAAATGTAGGAAAGTACAAGGGTGAACAACAATTCTTTACACGGACCTGCAGCAAAAATGATATACATCGAGTGATGAAAACATTCTACCCCCGTCCCTAAATAAAGATCCTGATTACGATGTTTGAGTGATAGCTAAAGTTAGTTCTCCTCTTAATATTTAAATTAGTATCAATAAGTACAATTTACATATTTAGAAAGTGCATTAGAAGTTCTATTGAGTGATAGCCATTTTGATGGAATAAAGCAAAATGGCTCATTAAACTGTCCGCGCTTCTTTGTTATGGAGCAGCAGTCAGTCCATGCAATTTTGGACGCGATTTTCACTATGGGTCATCCGGAAACAGTCTCTTTGTGCTTTAGTACATGGGTAAGACTGCATACATCCGACCCCCCCTTACCCCACCATAGGTGGGAGCCTTTGCGGCACTGGGGTAAATGAAAATGAAATGAAATATGATTAGAAGTTCTATTGATGAAATATGATATTAAGTTGACCGTATGGATAGTGAACAAGAACATTTTGGGAGGTAGTATTTTCATTAATAGCATTTCCACGCATCCTATTAGTAATAGCGGGTTCGTTTTTGTTCAAATAGTACTCCCTCTGTCCTGAATTATGTGTCTTGTTTGGGTTTGGCACTATTATTAATGAAGTGATTGTAAAGTAAATATTGTGGTTGAGGTTTGAGTAAAATAGATTGAAATGATATGAACCATATATTTATTTCTTATCAATAAAATGCATTTTTCTTTTAAAAAAAAAGATATGAACCATATATTTCTTGCCAAGTAAGGAAAGAAGACATTCCTTTTGGTACAGCCCAAAAGGGAAAACAAGAGGAGTAGAATAAAAAGGAAATTCAACTTTTTATTGGTTGAATGAGACAATGAGTAATGTTTAAATTAACACTTGCCTCAGGAATCTAACACTGCGTGAATGTGAAGTGCCAAACCAACCTCTTTTAGAGACTAGAGGACAGGACAACAGTTCATTCTCTGATGCCATATTCAGTGTCGTGAAGACGATGACAATTCCTGTTACTATAATGCATATCACTCCCATGTCAGCATTCAGGAGCGATGCTCATGTGGGCACTTGGGGTGACAAACCATCACTATCTGACTGTAGCCACTGGTGTCTACCTGGAGTGCCCGATATGTGGAATGAAATACTTCTATCCTATCTTCATTCAACGCCCTCGTCTACTATTTGGGAAAGGTAAATTTCTTGCCATTATATTTTTCTACCCATTGGGTTCTTTTGCATATCCACTATGTTCAACTACACAATAAATTATTACCTATGAGCGAAGTGCCTTATATTATGGTCAATGGTTTTCCTCAAAATCATATGGGAAACTCGAATAGGCACTAGATGTCTTTTTAAAACATGTTCATTTTCAAAGAGACATGTTTACTGATATTATTTTGTTGACATAAATATGCCTTTCATCCCAATCCCATCTCTAGTTAAACTGCACTTTTTTAAGTCACTCTCCACCCTCCAACAACCACCATTTGAAATAAAATTGATTTTGTCTCTCACATACCTTGAATTTCTCTTTTCCATGTTATTTTTTCTTGAAATGTTCTGTAGATATTTTTGTAGAGCTAGGAGAGGCTTAAATTATTTTCCATGGTGAATTTTCACTTAACACCAACCCCCAGGTTAAGAAAGAAGGGCTAAATATAAATAATGTCAGTTACAGTGATAAACAATTATAAAAACCATAATAGAAGCTTGTTTTCATGTGCAGGACGATGAGTAATTCTACCATTGCAAGATAGCAGCAATTTTGCACAGAAAATGTATAGTTACAGAGAGAATTTTGTCTGGGAATTTGATCTTTGTTTCATACGTAGTAATAGATTTATGATGAAGAGTGAAAAATGATAAATCCTTCAGGTTTCTCATGAGCTTAACATTGTCACATCTCACTCGTGATGGAAAGGAAACTGGTTTTTTCTTCAGTTCTTCATCTACATGCATATTCTGATTTAGAACTTAAATTTGAAGTAATTTTCTAACAGCACTACAGTATCCCTATAATTTTTTAAAGAAGGCAGACTAGATTTGTCTAGTGGTCAGAGCTAGAAATATTGTACAAAAGTTTGAAAAACTTTTACTGCCGTAAAACCAATACATAAATAATTTGTACTCCAAGTTGAATAAAATTAAAAAGTTGTTTACTCCGTACTTTATTTAAACAGCATTACAATTGGGATGAAAAAAGGATATTAGTTTGCCAAACAAAATTTAATATATTTTGTACAATATTTTATCTACACAAAAACTTGAAATACGTCAAAATGTTGTACATCATACAAAGTTACAAACAGTCATACTGACAAATACGGATTAGGGAGTATGTAATTTTATTATCCAATGAAAAGCAAAATAAAATTGTTTACTCGTAACCTTTTTGGTAACCTTTTTTAAGCTTATCAGTCATCGTAAATTTTTAATTTCACTGAAATTACTCTTCAATCAAGCTTAAGGGATTAAGGAATAATTAAATGAGTAAGGTTAGAGTTACTTATCACACTGATATTATTGTGAGTTAACTTTACCTAATTTTTCTTATAATTTTCCTGATAAAATATACCAAGTACTACGTATTTTAAGTATAATATTTCCACAATTAAACCAATTTCAGTGTTGCCAAATATAGTTTGAATTATTTGGTATATGTGATGTACTTTTAGTGATATTGCCTAGAGTATGAGTATGTGGACTTCATTATGTAGGAATATTTTGATTTAGCTTTTTAACAAATTTTGAGGTTCATTAATTTGCCTCAAGAAAAAAGGTCATCATCATTATCATTACCCCAGTGCTGCAAAGGCTTCCGCCTACGGTGGGGTAAAGGGAGATCAGATATACGCAATCTTACCCCTGTACTAAAGCACAAAAAGAAAAAAAGATATAATTCAAATTTAATTGTATCCACGATTCCACATTTCCACGGAACAATGTATATACGACAAGTGATAAGTTTCATATTGTTTTCAAAACCGAAATGACGACACTTGCTACAACGGCTAGCATCAAAGCGTAGACATATGTTTCACCACTCATCAAAGCGAAACTTCATAGTTTTAGTCTGTCTATTTTGAAGAATTAAAACTGATTTAATTAGTTCTGACCATAACAATAAATCACATTACAGATTATGCCGGGTAATTTGATCAAAATTTGCTTCCACCTCACTTCACTTTAGAATCATTTTCGATTAATTTCCATGTCGTTGCCTTGGGGGCTGGCATCCTACAGGCTACAAGGATTAATTTCTTCTCTACTATCATAGAATTTTCGTCAAACTTCAAATACCACTTCCTTTTCTGTTATAGTCAATTGAAGCAAAGATTACATACAGGGACATTTTTAGTGCAGAACACAAATTGAGCATTGCGCATCGCGTAAGAAACAGAAAATTATTTCTGATAATTAGAGTAACCGCTTGCGTGAAGGAAATCTATAATTTGAACAGACTGCAAGAAGAAAAACTGGGAAGCCAGGGGGGTCCCTGCCCTCTCTCATCTTGCAAGCCTCTTAGGAGCACATATACATTCAGGGTATGGATTTTGGTAAAAAGGTTCTTCAAACCTGAAGCGTGCCCGACCTTTTATTCCAGCCGGGGCACCTTTTCTTTTTCTAGGAGTACCTTGTCTGCAAAACCAAGAAAGATGCACAATTTGGTCATCATCACATCTAAGGAAACCAAAAAATTGGACATACGAGCAAAACAAATGGCCACATCACCTATCCTCGTGCAATCTGTTCACAAGATGTGATAAAGTTGGCCCTTCTTCAAGCTGCCCAGCTTCCAGCTGATCAAATATTTCAACAAGGCCTTTCCTGCTCATTTTATCAGCAATCCCCGTAGTTAGACTACAGATAAGATTTTGGTTTGTCTTTCAAGGAAAAGGAAACAGTGTTCTTAAAGAATTTCATATAACAACTTCTGTAGCTTTTCCAAAAAAAAAAAACTTCTGTAGCAAAGGTAAAGCCAAACATCCAAAACAATTGATGTCGGTTAATGGTCATTAATCATAACAAAGTAAATACGCTAATACCCCTCCCATTTTATCTCCCCCATAGTTGCTAATCTGTTGTCAACTCGTCAACCCAACAATTCCTTTACTTTCTCTTTTAAAAGTCAACATTATTTGATTTACATAGTGCTCATACTTTTCATGTAATCTCTCTCTCTATTTCATTTTCATTTACCCCAGTGCCGCAAAGGCTCCCACCTACGGTGGGGTAAGGGGGGGTCGGATGTACGCAGTCTTACCCCTGTACTAAAGCATAGAGAGACTGTTTCCGGATGACCCATAGTGAAAATCGCGTCCAAGATTGCATGGACTGACTGCTGCTCCATAACAAAGAAGCGCAGACAGTTTAGTGAGCCATTTTGCTTTATTCCATCATAATCTCAAGCCAAAAAATAATGAATCTTTGACTCCATTGCAAATGATGGAAAACTCCATATATATTATATATATATATATATATATACCTGGAATAATTCAACTAAAAGTTACAACAACAAAATGTGAACAACTCCAATGATGGACATAATCACATAAGGAGTAATTTTGAACTTGTCAAAATGCCACACTGCTCAAGTAGAAGATCTAAAACAGGATTTACGGAGTAATTAAAAAAAATAGTCTTAAAAAATGAATTGAAGCACGGGACACTTCTATGATTTGGCACACAACAATAGTAACCAAATGTGTCTCACAACTTAAACTGCATAATTGAGGGAAAAGTTAAATTCACATTTTAACTTAACTTCCTATTAATAATGCAAATTATATCGTACAGTTTATGACATTTAAAAAAATATCGAGGTCCTCATTTCACTTAAAAGGTGTTCATTTCCTTTTGCCTTCTTATGTTCCTTTTCTTGTTCTGATCGTTGTTTTGTTAAAGAATGTTCATTTGCATATTATCCTTGCTCTTTTGTTTTATTTAGCAATGCTCTTTTGCAGATATTGGATGGAGAATTAATTATATTGGTACATCATATATGAACCCTACTAGTAAAGACATACTTAAAACGCTGGATTTTAAGAAGTACTAGTAATTTTTAGAAGTACCTACCTGTCAGGAGTGATCGTCTTCCGGTGGCCTAAGAATCTACGATGCCCCTCAACTGTTCTTGCCATGTTACCAGAATGTGATGGAATAAAAACATCACTCTCAATAGAGATGATATAGTCAATTGCTGCACTTTGTGATGCGTGCCCGGAAAACTGTCTCAGTTCCTCTTGGGTTGCAAGCATCTCCTGCCCAATTATTACATGACAACACACGAGAAGGTGTGAATCTTGAGATGTGATTACTGATGGATTACAGTATGAAACCCCACCCTAAAGGTAATATTTACCTTTGAAACTACATTTGGAAAGCGGGAAGTAAGCTCGAAAAGGTGACTGTTACCACCATAGATTTCTCCAGCCGCGATGTAGATTGATGTTGACTTAGGATATCCAAGAGCATGAAGAAAAATTCCAACCTCCTTGGGCGTAAGTGGGCATAAACCGCCAATTCTCTGCTCAGTGGAATTGATATTCTTCATCTTCCAATGATTTGTATTCTCCCTAGTAACAAATTGAGTTTAACAAGATGTCTGGACAAATGAATCCTCAAGAATAGATTATAGGTATTGTATAATCTTCCATCTAGGGCATAAATGAATACTATGTATGTTATTAAGGATATATATTTGAAAACAAAAATTATGAGGCCTATGCATTATTTCCCTGCAAGTATTTTGATTTGCCGATTTTAGCCCCCATTTTTAAATGAGCAACTTTGGTACCTCTACATTGCAACTTGTGAGAGCTCATTCAATATTAGCCATCACCGCATACATGAACATTTTCATTCACACTAGGACACAATTACAACAACAACATCCAAGCCTTAGTCCCAAAAGATATTGGGGTCGGCTAACATGAATCGATACATGATATCACAACCAAAAGGAAAAGAAAGAAAATAAAGATAAAAAAGATAAGCTATTATAAAAAGATAATATAAAAAGAGATGAATATACATAAAAATGATAAAATAAAAAGGCTACAAATAATGTTTATATATATAAGGATAAAAAACAAGGAAAAAAAATGAGTGAAAAAGATTATACGAGATCACTCCTTCATGCGAATACCCGCCCTCCACTTAGTTCTCTCCAAAATCATGCCCTCATCCAACCCCAGAAGAAGCATATCACTTCGAACTCCCCTAACCCACGTCTGTTTGGGTCTTCCTCTCCCTCTCTTCCCTGCCTCTTCTCAACACGTCTCAACTCGTCTGACAGGTGCATCACTCGATCTTCTATGCACATGACCAAACCACCGTAGGCGCGACTCCCGCATCTTGTCTTCAATAGGTGCTACTCCCACCCTTTTTGATTGTCTCATTCCTCACGTGGTCCTTCCTAGTATGCCCAAACATCCAACGCAGCATGCGCATCTCTGCCACACTCATCTTTTGAATGTGACATTGTTTCACCGCCCAACACTTTATGCCATACAGTAATGCAGGCCTAATTGCTGTCCTATAAAATTTACCCTTCAGTCTAATCGGCATACCTCAGTCGCATAGAAATCCTGACGCACTCTTCCACTTCATCCACCCTGTTCTGATTCTATGAGATACATCTCCATCTAACTCACCGTCCTTCTGCATTATGGAGCTCAAGTAACGGAACATATCGCTGACTGGTATCTCCTTACCATCCAGAGTAATTCCGCTATTACCACTGCTGACACAATTGTGTGGCTTAAAATAAAATAAAAAATCTATGTGGCACAACCTTTTCTTCTGTGAGTGAGTCTGACGCTGCCACCACCCTCTTACTCTAAATAGCTAATTGCCCCCATTAGTGGAGAATGCGAACAAGATTGTGTCCGACTTTGTAAGGAAAATGTACACATAGTGTGTTGACTAAAATAAACATTGATGGGGGAAATAAATTGCAATTGGGTAAAACTAGATGGACTAAAATTGATTGTGACTGCATCGGGCATTGTGGTCTGCTAGTATGCATGAACCGCAAATTATTGAATTACTTCTGTGATAATATCGGTCGTAATTCAACTAAAAAATATGGATGAGCAAATAGAGAGACAGGGAGTGCTGTACTGCTGTCTCACTCTATTTTTTTTTTAAAAGGGAAAAATAAGTTCGTTTCCAAGAAAATAATTTTTTGTAGTAATTTTTTCCTCAGTAAATGTTTTACAAGGAGAAAGTTTTCCCGGAAAATTGTTTTACAAGGAAAGTGTTTTGCTGGAAAATAAGCCGTTTATTAATATAATGTTTGACCCGCAAAGGCGCAAAAATAGAAAACATAGAACCGTTTCAAAATGGGTCATTTACCATGAACTATCAGAGAATCATTAAGAAAATATTCTCTGGTGCCAATCATAAGAAAATCAGAAATCATTTTCCCGCAAAATAATTTCCTGGAAAACAATCTGGAACATGATCTTAGATTCTACAAGATGAATTTCAACATAAATGCAAAAAAAGGTATACACTATCCATATAGGAGGAGTTAGATAAATTTGACAGAGAGAAGGGATAGAGACTACCTCATTACTCTAAGCTCCTCGGCTTCTTGATCAGTAAGACCATAAGTACACCCAGTAAAAGACAGCATATCCTTTTCATAGCGCAAATGAAGAGCAACATATCTTGGGTCCCGTAACCGCATCCTCTCCACAAGCTTCTGTGGTGGTATTACTATCACGTATTGCTGATTTCATTACATCATTACAAAATTGTATTTTATGAAGGATGACAAAAAAATGAGCAACGCAAAATGAGAAATTTTATTTTTTGTTGTTTCGTATATGATTTCACGTTATGTTCTTTTATTTATTTTTCTTTTATCTTGGTTATATTCTTGTGTTATTATTATCTTATATTTATGTATCTTTATTTTATTCATTTTATCTTACTTTTTTTTTCCTTTTCTTGTCCGCCTTCTCTTTTTGGCATCGATATCATAGATCGATTCATGTTAGCCGACCCCAAATTCTTTTGGGATTAAGGCTTGGATGTTGTTGTTGTTGTTGTTGTTGTTGTTTCGTATATACACCCCAAACAGTATTTCTTTTCATCACATCTCTATGAAATCATATTCAATTACTGAGGATTAAAAAATAGCAACGGAAAAATGGAAATTTTGTTTTATGTTGTGGTACCTACTACCTAATTGATATAGACATCCGAACAATTTTTCATTTAAATATCACCGCACTGATGAGAGATTCAGAAATCTTAAGTCCATAACTCCATAGTGAATGTTGGAGTTATAGGTTATAACCGTGAACAAAAATCAATAACTTATGATTATTAAGCAGATTTCCAGGATAGCTTCTCTAACCTTTCCAAGGCTCTCAATAGGAGGAGAAAAGCGAAGAGCATGGTATAGAGCACGGCATCTAAGTCTTTGAATGTCAAGAGGCAGATCATTGTTTGCAAGCCGAGAATCAGATTTAGCAACATGAATGACCTTCATGAAAGAAATGACTAGAAATTATATAATGGCATGACAAACGTTCACATCTCCCATATTATGATGTCAACCATATTTTATGTAACAATCTTGTGCCTAATATTCTTTTGCTAGGTGAGACTTTCTTACAGAAACAGGGTTTTAATGAACAAGATGACAAACCAATAATCTAAACAAATCTTGCCTCACGAAGGTCAAATTATGTTTTTAAACGATTCATATAATTATAAGAAATGACCAGGTTAAATCACTAAGCCATAACAATTTCAAATTTCCAATAGCAAACATTATCCACGTCCTTCTATTGCTTATATATGAGTCACAAAAATCATCATCATCATCATCATCATCATTACCCCAGTGCCGCCAATGAGTCACGAAAATACTGAAGTAAATAACTTGCCTGGTTTTCATTCCATAATTGCTTCATCTCAGTATAATATCCCATACTGGACCAGGAGGTGAAGTGCTTCCTGGCTCGATGCGCAGATTCTAATTCTTTTGGAAGCGCTCTGACAATCCTGACATCTCCTTGTAACATTTGGATGAAATGGTGTTCATCAAATATATCTGAGAAAATACTGTATTTTAGCCTATTAGAACTTTTTTACAAGTAAGAAAAAGAAGTTGAGGGGAAATTGGGAAAAGCAATAAGTATGACAATCTGCTATTTATGATTCATGGGGACTGCAAATAACGCATGGATTGAAGGCGATTAAGCTATGACGTGAAAAGAGGAGAACAAGAGCAAGAACAGGAAGTCCCAATAACCTTGAGTCTTTCCAGAATGAACGCTTGTCCAACTGAGGAATCACCATAGTTGCATTCATCATATGCGCCACCGCAACCATATCAGCTATCTATGAGAATAACGGTATAAATGCTCCTATTAAAATTTTCAGGTAAAAAGAATTAAATCACAATTTAATGAGGTTATCTAAAATTATTTGCTTCAAAAAGTTGGCATCATCGGCTATGCTTGGTAGAGACTAGTTGGAGTACATAAGTTATCTCAAGTTCTATATGGTCAAAAACAAGAGAATAAGATAAGATTTTATTTGAAAAAGTATCTTGTGTAGATTTTGATAACTAGGTTACTAGTTTTTTATTAATTCCCACTGAAGGATCTAAACTACTATGGAGTAGTCTTTTATTGATTCTGAATGTTTCATTAATATAAGAAATTTCCTTTTATATCTTTTTATACATGTCAACTACTCAAGAACTGGTTTCACAAACCATCCACTCACAAAATACAGCAATCAACTTTCAGCTATGCCTATTAGCTTCACAACTTTAAATGAAATTTCAATTTTAAGCTAGCTTTTCAGCTCAGTGCACCAGAAATGTTCATAATCTTCCATTTACCCCAGGTCTCCAATTGTCATAATCTCTTGACAGTTCACATGTATTGGCGCATTGCACTCTATGGAATACATTCATTCACTATTGATGGCTTTATATATCCTTGATAAACGAATTTAATATTTTAAGTCTTTCTTTCTCCATCATTAACATTAGAGTTAATGCAGCCTCCACAAATTATCTAAATGTTATCATGGAGTTGATCCACAATCTCACAAATATGTAGATAAATAAAACATCTTCCTACTGAATGGGAATTGAAAAACTATAACATTGTGTGAATTGCTCTTGGTGAATAATAATTTTGTTTGGTAGAGAACTCTTTCCATTCACATTGTACACAGTACAAACATAACTTCAGCATACTAGGAAGTTAAATCAATCAAAATGAAGTTGTAGAGGCATGTTTAAAGAACTTGTTCCATAACGATTACCGGGTTAGAATATGGAGGGTAAATCCATTCATCATGCGGTCAAGTAGCGCAATCATGGCTTATTGATCAGACTAGATGCAAGAAAAGGATGTAACTTACACCAGTGCGCATCTGATTTAAACCCCCGTTACTTTTAACTGTCAAGTAGTGATCCCATCCCAGTGCAGCTGAACAAAGCCCCATAATAATAGGCAAATTAAGAAATGAGTTACTGACAGTCAATTGCTACTGCAAGAATGGTGAAATTGCAGAAGAAAACCTTTATATCTAGCAGTAGGCTTGATACAGGGCCGTAAACCATTGCTATATGGAGCATCCCAAATATGTCCGACTTCCTTCTGGAAAGCGATAGAATGTTCTAAACTCATTACCACAATATATTGTACATATACATACGTGTGTACATACATACATACATACATACATACATACACACACATATACATATATATATACATACATATATATATATATATATATACATACATACATATACATATATATATACATACATAAATATATATATATATATACATAAATATATATATATATATATATATATATATATATATATATTCTCGTATGAATTTGCATAATTTACTCTATAGCTGGACATTGTTATCTTTCAAGAAGACACTCTAGTCAATTCATTAGCTTATCTTTAGACTATATCAGCATAGGGGAACAGTTTATTTAATATGAGAGTTTTCCAAGATGAAATAATCTCTACTTCTACATATTACTTGTCTCAACTTCCAAATGGTTGACTATGTTTGTTATAAATTCCCTTCTATAACAAAGTATTGTTAGCTACTACAACATCCAAGCCTTAGTCCCAAAAGATATTGGGGTCGGCTAACATGAATCGATACATGATATCACAACCAAAAGGAAAAGAAGGAATAAAGATAAAAAGATAAGCTATTATGAAAAGATAATATAAAAAAGATGAATATATATAAAAATGATATAATAAAAAGGCTGCAAATAATGCTTATATATATAAGGATAAAAAAACTAAGAAAAAAAAAAAGATGAGGGAAAAAGATTATCAAGATCACTCCTTCACGTGAATACCCGCCCTCCACTTAGTTCTCTCCAAAGTCATGCCCTCATCCAACCCCAGAAGAAGCATATCACTTCGAACTCCCCTAACCTACGTCTGTTTGGGTCTTCCTCTCCCTCTCTTCCTTGCCTCTTCTCCACACATCTCAACTCGCCTAACAGGTGCATCACTCGGTCTTCTACGCACATGACCAAACCACCGTAGGCGCGACTCCCGCATCTTTTAGCTACTAAAATTTACATATTTAGAAAATACCCTAGAAGTCTTAATAAATCGCATTTGCTGATTTTGAATATGACAAAACATGGTATATAAATTACAAGTTCTAAATAACAGGATTGATTCAAGAATAGTAAGTTAGTAACTGGGATCAATGATATCAAAGGTAGTATAACCTAAAAAGCTCTAATTCAGCTACATAAATGTCAAAATATATCAGACTCAAAATTGATTTGTGATCCATCTGTAATCTATGAACCATAGCACAAGAATCATATAATCAAGATTGTTTCTTTCATAAATTTTACAAAAGTAGAATTGCAATAGCAAGTCGAAGCCATTAACAAATTAGGTATGCCAATTAACAAACTTCCGGGTGTAGGTAAAGACCTGCTCGGGCTCCAATGAGAAGGGAGATTTTGGGTTATCTTCAAAGACGTCCCTGCTGTTAAAAATGAATATGATGATCGATAGAGCAAAGAGGAGGAAAATATAAAGAGTGATTGAATGAGGAGACGTCCTTCGGGTCCTATTGTAATGGCCTCTGATGTAGTTCGCCATTTGAAATCCTCGAGTATTCTCAGAACTTCATCGTGTCGCTTGCTTTCTTCCTCAAGAAGGAGAACTTATGGATTGCACAATGAGAGCACCTCCTGCAATCTACTCGTAATTGCGATGTAAGGATGAGTAATTCTCTTTTTAATGAGCCAATGAGCCATACAGGAAGTACTAAGATGTCCTACACCAAATGATGTTAACCTTTTTCAAATTAAAGTATGAAACTCAAATCTTAAAATGTCTGTCACACATAATTGATACGGAGTTGCCTCAAAACAAAATTAAAATTTCGGATACATTGAGATGTTTCGTTATCACAACTCACTAAAATTTCGTTACTAAAATTTCGTTATCACTGATGTGTGACCTATATAAAATGATAGAAACGTTACAGCTCTAACGGGACTTCTGACTGATCATCGTGAAGCATCCATAGTAAATGTCACTCTGGTCGTTATGACATGATCACAATGATATGCAAAGAAAATTGTAGCCCCTCGGGGTCGCATAGACGCTCGTTATCATCACTATAGAGATGAGCTCTAAAGCAATGGGCTGAAAATGTTGGTGATTTCTATGTTGCAACATCGGTCTAAATCTAATAGATGAGTCCTATGGAAGTTCTCACAGGTCTTGAAGACCAGCAATTGACTCTAAAATGTGTATGTGTCCTAGAAAATTAAAAACATTTGGGAGTACGATAACTAGACACGATGTGATCAATGAATGTTCAGTGGCGTGGGGTGATAGCCGTTATATTTACTTGTGTAACATATGTATTTATAAGTATTTGTTGAAGAAAAGAGGAGAAATCGGGCAAATACCTTCAGAATGAGAGCTAGAGCATAAAACATTGCGATGAACGGCTTTTTGGACCAAAAGGATAACGTTCTGACCATAATTTGAGTATAACTTATTGTAGATAATTCCGAATGTCTCGATTCAAAGTTTCATGTTAATTATAACTCAATAAGCTACAAATGTTGTGAAGACATCATGACCAGAATATGAAAGGATCAAGACTCAATCAACCAATAAAGTCAGATGTTGCCGGTGAGATTTCAGGATGCATACCTCTCAGTGTTTTATCCATATCTTTTGATTGGATGATTAAAGACATTCCATTCAAGTTTTGGTGGATAGAAGACTTCATTATCTACAACTTTGGTGAAGAAATCTTGTCCAAAATCGTAGCGGAACATCCCCAAAATCCCAGGACAAAACCGACGCCGAAATTGCATTAAACCGGTGCCGGTTGCTTGTAAAAATTTCGACCCCGGATTTGCCGAAACACAACTAGCGCCGGTTAATTACCTAAGCGGCGCCGGTTCTACCCCAAATCTGCAGAAAACCCAGACAACGTGCTTGGATATTTTGAGTTGATTTGAAGATATTTGGAAGGTATATATGGCTCAGAAATTTCGCCCCAAGTTGATTGAGGATCATGAATAGACCATCAAAGATCATTTTCAAGCCTATATAAACCCTCCAATTCATCCCAAATTGATCATCCAATCTCAGTTTAATTCATTAGTTCATAACTAGTTTTTATAGTTTTTCTTTGTTCTTCATGGTGTTCTTGAGGTGTAGAAGCTCATTTCTTCCAACCATCGATGTTTAGGTAATATTTCCTTTATATTTACATGTTCTTCTACATTCAAAGTATTGTAATTTTGATTAATATGAGCGTTAGAGGCTAATTCCTAAAGTCAAGGCTCGGGGTGAACCTCTACGCCCGCTAGTTTTTTTATATTTGTTCCAAGTCAAATTTTATGATTTATTCTTCTTATGTTTAATTTTCCATATATGTTATGAAACATAATAGTATAATACTCGTATTGATATGAAGTAACTAACGTTGAAATATCAATTGGACACTAGAAGAAGTAATTCGCATTTTACTCTCTTTAAACTAATTATATATAATTACGTTGAATAACATCTAGATGTTTGTATGGTCAATTAACGTTGCAATATAAATCATTCTCTAGAAGAATAGATATACAAAGTATTTAGGATAGAAATATACCCGATCTTGTATGGTGCGTGTGTGGTATCTTAATATTCAACGGGGTTTTCTCTAGATGAATGTGAGCTGTAACGGGACTCACACGTAGCGAAAACCACGCTCTCACTGCCTTAACCGGAATCGGGAATATAATACCGATACCATACTCATAAGAATTGACAAAGAACTTTTATTGAATTCTAGTTAACGAACGTTCGGGTGAATCCCGATGCATTAATCATTTTATCATATATTCACTTAAACAAACGAAAATCCCTGCATTTTAATTACTTTTATTCTCTCTTTTAATTCTCAAACTGAAATTTATAGAACGACGTTTCCCTGTGGATTCGACCCGGTATTTTACCGGAATTTATTACTACATTGGCACTTGTATACTTGCAAGTTTAGCCCGATCATGGGGCTATGGGCCCCTCTAGTCAGTATCAATCTCTTCAGAAGGAGAAGGTGATACATAATGAGGTTCCCCGTGAAATTTGATTAAACACCTGTCTGTTGGGAGACAAATGAGTGATCTAGGGTAGGATTGTGCATGCGCTGTTGGACAAGATGCAACGACTTCTACCTGGGATCTGAATAAATTCAGTCCTGTACCTGTGGGGAATTTTCCGGAGTATTTGAGTGACTTAGATTGATTCTTCAGTTGATCGCTCAGTTGAGGTAACAGACTTGTCTTTGAATATAGTTTTCTTGCTCATTTGAGCCTTCTGCTTCCTCACTCTCATAGTGTTCACTCACTCACTCACTAAAGGTTTTGTCCCTTAAGTAGGCTTTAGTTTGGTTTACTAAGCCATTGGGACTTATTCTTTCATTGATCTCTTTGCTCCCCCTCAATACGAGCACTCAATAGAATTCTTTGACGTTGTTTGGCGCTTGGGAGGAGAAGAGGGGAGCTCTCACGCACATGAGATTTCGGCTTGTAGTTCAAAATTGAAAATTCGCACACCCACTGCGTGGGCGACCTGCGGACACGATAGTCAGAAAAATTAGCTGGTCTCAAAAGACAATTTTGCCCCCTTTTTTCTATTTTTTCGGCAAAGGGCTATAAAAGCTATGTGATCTCTAAGTGTAAATTCGGGGTTGCTGATTTCGGGTGGCTTACTGTAAGTGGAATTCGGGTGAATAACAGATTCCGGGTATGCGCAACTTGTAGATTTCGGGTCAACGTAAAAAATGATTTCGGGTCCGCGCTCCAAACTAGATTTCGGGTGTACTAAGCAATTCCGAAATTCGGGTGTCCTTTAAATTGCATATTTCGGCCAATTGGAGATTTTCTTCTTCGTTCTTCCTCTGTTCCAAAGCCGTTGCAGGCCCTAATTTTACGAACTTCGTACACAACAAATCATGAACTAAAATCGATCAAACCTTTTGATTTGTTGTCTCTTCACCTCTGCTTCTCAAAAAAATACGTAAACTCAACTTCTTCGTTAAGGGTAGTAGCGAAGCTTTTGCAAATAACTTCAAACAGATACAGACTTGGCTCTGATACCAATTGTTTGAGCGATTCTCATATCAATAGTCGAATAAATGTAAATAATAGTAGCTTGTTTAGAACAATAATAGATCAATATCGTACATTCATAATAATAGATCAATGATGAACAATACACGTATGAGCTTGTTGAGAGAGAATTTTTCTATCTATGTGCTCTACGAGAATAATATGTGGAAAATAATATGTAGAGACTTAGGCTGTTCGAACCATCTTTGCCTTTATTTATAGGGAGATAATCGAGCATCCTATTACAGTTAGGAAACATCATATGTGTGTGTATGGGTTTTGGTAGAGAAAATAAAAAGCCCGATTCTCTCTCAACTAATAACTTGCTAATACTAAGACTCTTTAAACAAAAGATAATTACAATTAATTTGAACACAATTAAATAATGTTCAAACAAGAAACCATACGATAAAGCTTTGAGGTGCACTGCTAATTTTCTTTGTGCTTGTTTTGTTTACATTTTCCTAATATGCAACTGATAAATGCTTGTGTGTGTTTGTGCAATCTTGTGCTTGTGTGTGTTTGTGAAATGGTGCAAACAAATGCTAAGTGTTCTCATTTTCTACAACACTTTAAATTATACCCGAATGTGATCCCCTTTTAGGGAAGTGTTTGCTTTATCCTCAATGTCCCATCAAAACATAATACGATACTATCAGGTATAATGAGAGGTCTCGTGACATTGTAGAATTTTAAAATTGTTGAAATTTTGTTTTAATTTATTTCACCAATTATATTAGCCCACGTTAACTAGGCGTGGGTTGAAAGAAAGCTTTCTGGTGTTCACTTCTGTGAAGATGATGTATCGAGTGATTCTTATGACCTTACACCAGAAGAGCGTGAAGCACTATACTTGTACATTCTTATGGAGTTGTGCCCGTGGTGATTTTTTATTAAGTTTTGTGTAACTCTCTATTTATCTTGTTTTCAGAACATTAAATGGAAAGTTTTATTACATTCATATTTGAAAAGTTTTATATGTCAAGTGGAACTTAATATGCCATTTCCTTTTTTTAAGAAATGTCATTTCCTATTATTATTATGGATTATTACTACTATTATTGTTATTATTATTATTTTGTTTATATATCATTTTAGATATGCAGTGCGTTTTCTTTTTGTGAACTTGTGAAGCTCTGTCTATCTCTATTTTTAAAAAGAATACAGAAAAACATACTTCATAATATCAAAAGGATATAAAGTACTCCTTTGCCAATCTTAATTAAACTTTGTGTGCATCTATCTATTTACCTTTTTTCAGAACTTTAAATCAACTGATAAAAGAAGACGAACTTCCAAACAAGAGAGTGATTGCACTCATGGTATTTCATCAGATCGAAGTGCAGTGGAGCACATACACGCTAGGGGCTATTTGCATATCATGGTGGCTTTGCAGTTCCAAATATATTGTTGGACGCAGAAGGTAACGCCAAGGTGGTGAACCTTGACCAGTGTGAGTTTATATGCGTTAGTTAGTTGATTATTTGTGTTCAAAGTAATTTTCCAGTGAGTTTATATTGGAACTACTATTGATATTATAATATTTATTATATATATATAAATATGCATTTC